TGTCTGGCGAGCGCTAAATGAAAATAGGTCGAGGCGTCTGCGCTCATTTGCGCGCGCCCTCCTTTTATTTCGTTTCCGATGCGTTGTGCGCCCTCCTGTCTACGTGCGCACAAAGGACCCGAGAATGTCCTATGAGAAACGCATAATCATCCCATACATCATTTTTCCAAACAAAAAGCATTCTAAAAGAGAGTCCGAAAACTCAAAAATCAATATAATAAACATCAGATTAAGTTAAAAATTGTACGCATTAAAATACTTATTTCAATTTTCCAATATTTCTCGTGTATCTTCTGATAAACGAGAAAGTAAAGAATTAAAATTGTCAATCAAGATTGCCATTGATTGACATTAAAAAAAATTAATTTCGGTATATATTTTTGAATTTTATAAAAAAAAATTCAAAATTTGAATTTAAATAATAGCTTGAGTAGCCAACAATGATTAAAACAATTCAAACGTAAAACCGTTCAGAAGAAACGAAAGAGGCAAATAGTTTTTTTCTTTAATTTATTCGTGCGAGCGAATTCAAGGAAAGCGCGGTCATGCCTTTCTCCATTACGGGAAGTAACAAGCAAGAAGAAGTTCAGAGCAATCGAGTGTTCGTATTTGGAGACTGTGGGCTTATTAATATTGCCAAAGAGCCGACCGCCGGCTCTTTGAAACGTCTCCCTCAGTGGGCCAGGGCTTCGCGCGAAATTCGTCCGTCCGGGTTTGGCCTTCGTGGCCATGCCAAGAAAGAAGGGACAGGATCGACGACGAAGGCAAGCGAGATGAAGATAGGGGAGCGCGGACGGAAGGGGGCGAAAAAAAAAGTCGGGACCGAAGGGAGCGAGGAGGAGCGAGGGTACGAGAGAGAAATGCGTGGGAATTGAACCATGTGGTCGGCCGACTGGCTCGCGAAATATCGCGTTGCGAAAGTGCGCGCGCGCGCACCACACACACACACACACACACACACACGCGCGCGCGCAACACACGTACGCGAATTACCGATACACGTGGAGGCGGCGCGAGCGAAACCGGTGCACGCATACATACATACTATGTTTCGAGGTCACGGGGAATTTCAGAAAGAATCGGGCGGGATAATTAGACCGCCTTTCATGAAGTAACGTCGTTTGATAGTAACGAGATCCCGAGCCATCGAGTAAATGGCGCTTTGAACAAAGCTCGCGATCTAATAACGTAATTATATCGTTATTAAAATAATGCTTCCGTACACAATGTAGGAGTGAGCTTCACCACGTGCGCTAAAGTAAAATAAAAACTGCACGTAGCGTAATCGATCGATCAATCGTCGGAGATATTATATCAAGATAAATTGTGTAAATCTTTCATATATTCGACAAAATTTTTTTTCTTTAAATTTTATGTACCTAAGGAATATACAAGATACAACGAGAAAGCATATTTTACGACGCGAACGATAGAAGACGAGTCGATATGACGAAATAAGGACGCGCACGGTACGTAGGTGTACGACATGTGCTCGATTACGCACAGCGCGCCGCGACTTGCGATCAGCGCGAGATCAGCTGTTAGTTCACACCACCAATTACGAGTCACGCGACTCTCGAGGTTCTTGTCCCGACCTGACACACATGCGCATTGTATGCCTACCTTTAATCGTCTCACGAGGCACCGCGATGTTTGGCGCCTCGTCTCGTCTCATCTCGTCACGTCTCGCGCGGTCCACATTCTTCGCTAAATACCCGATTAACTCTTGACCTCCCTCCCCCCCCGCCCTCGTGATCGCGTTGTCCGAGCGCGACGTTGCGCAATTTTTAGTCGGTGCTATTTTCGAACGCGCCAAATGTTGGAATGTTATTAGCACGGCTCATTTCTACGGATATATTCTCCACTTCTTTCTGCCGCTTCTAAAATTTCTGCCTTCTATTCTCGACGCTAAACATCTTAATTGAATTTCAAATATATTACGAGTTTGTTAAAATAAACATGATGTAACCTCAACTCAAAGGATAAAATTTTACCAGCTGTTTAAATTTGTAATGTTTAATTACTAAAAATCTTTTCGTTTTTTTGCCATTTATATCAGTCTAAAACTACCGTGTCTCAATATTTTCTCAAAAAATTAAGTATATTTGTTCAAAAAATTCATAGGTAGAATATGATTCGATAAATTTTGAATAGCCTGCGGATATGTATCAATGTTACGCCGAGAAAGGTGATTTTCGTATAATCGGCTTAATAGCGGCATTTGCGCCGTGAAATACTCGCCGTAGTCCGTTCCCACGATTGACCTTACTTCACTAAGGTGGCACAAAGCTGTAGAGAACAAGTTCGCAGCTAAAGATTTATGAGAGTTTGTATTCATGCCCAACAGCATTAACCATACCTGTCTGATAATGAGTTTTCTTTATCCCGTACGAATTTCTTTTTATATTTATTAACACGAACTCGGGACAATGTAATCTATAAAATTTATTAATAGTAAAGAACAATCTCAGAATAACCATAAGATATTCTAAAGTAAGATAAATGATAGAATAATGCAGAAAATATATTGTAATAAAACATTGTTAAATCACGTTTTGTAAAATTTAAAAAATCGTCAACAGTTTCAATAGTACCGTTCTCAGATTAAAAGTAAAACGTTCAAGAATTCACAAAAGTAAAAGTTTACATTAGAAAGGCGATACAAGACAGTTTGAACACCAATTTTGCGATCGAACTGTTCGCGTCAGCTGATACCCAACGGCAATGACATAAACGTTCCAACAGCACAGGAACTAAATAAACGTTGTCACACGACAGTGGGGCTAATGATTAAAGTCCCAGTCGGCGTGACTAGGCGAACGAACCGGACCGATTGTGCAGGGATTTAGTTTTACAGCGTGGGATCGGACGCCGACTTTCACATGCTAAAATTGGCCAAAGCCAAAGCGCTCGATGATTCATAAAAGCTGCCGACGGTAGGCTTGCGTAACGTAACGTCACGACTTGCGCAAACGCGCAAGAGAGACGATTGAGTTTTATTGGCGAATTCACCTTGCCAAAAGAGAGGTAGGTTGTCGTTTCCGGTCCACGTGTCAGCCTGACCCGACCCGACATCGTGCGTGTTGGCCCTAATGTAATAAAACTCTTCCGGTCGGATGGTACCATCACCTTAACTATTCGTAGGCGCGAGGTCCGTCTGCGTTTTGCAAATAACGGTTAGAAAGTCTTTTGAATACATACCGAGATTCCTTACTTACTGGCGAATGCAGAAAAATTCTTTTGTTTAATTTTTTTTAACACCGTGCAAAATTAAGTGAAAAATAAAGTACGACTCGTTTGTGTCCAACGAGAGCATCATTGCATGCCAGCGGTATTTTCAAGTTGTATGACCAAACAAGAACGATCTGTTTTCTATACGTTCGCTAATAATAAATATCGAAAAGGGCGTTACCTTAAAGAAAGTAAATTATAAAAATATCTTGCAAGAGGCGATAAATGCAATCATGCATATATAATCGGATTCATACGGTTGGATTTTCACGGCATTATTTCACTGTCATCCTTACTTTTTTCTTGTATGGTCTTATATAAGATCTAATACCGCCAAAAATATAAATAATTAATCCCTAAATGCATATTACGTCATTCAACAATTGGTAATTTTATCGAATTATATTCTCATTGTTGAGCAAAAAAAACTACGTATACACGTTTTTTCTACAATCCATTTAAAGATTAATGCATTTAAAGATTAATCATAATGGAAACTCGGGGCTATTGCGAAGAAGTAAACAATTCTATCAATTGTATCCGATAATTGGAGTTACGAATTCATCCAAGGAGTATCGATATATAACTTGCGGGAAACAGTATTATTCCTGATGACTCCACTTGGACTATTGAATGCTCAAATACTCGCACAACGTCCCAACGATCCGAAATAGTCACATATCGATTGAGCGCGTCGCGCAGAGTTCTCAAGTTCGAAATCTTCAAATGGACAGTCAAAATCGCAAGATGGTACTAGTAACAAAGGCGTGACCCACTCTTGCGATAGTACCTTCTCAAGTTTCAATTGTGTGCACGAGTGCGGCATAAAAGATATTTCATGTACGCACACCACATCTTGCACATGGACGAAATGAGAATTTTCCAAGTTATTCGGATGATGCATTACGACAAAGAAAAGTAAAAGAATTATGCTTTGCGACTGGCGATGAGACACTGCTTGCACAATATAAGCAATCGTGCATTAAGATTCGAATTATCCTCATGCAATGATCTTTCACTAGACTATTTGCGCGAAGCCTCGAAAATCAAATTTTTACACTCGATGCCTTATGACTTTAATAAAATATATGAATATCTTGCGATTTTATGACGTGATAAAAATCAAAACGTTTATTAATTTTTTTGATATTTGATCGAATATGTTCCTCTCTCTCGAGAGGCATGCAATGATTATGCATTCCTTCTAATGTATCCATGGAAAGACGTGAGCATGAAGCGATGATCGTTATTACTCAAGCTTGATCGACTATTCCTCCAGCACAGGAAAAATTTATTGGAGGAAGTGTTCTTCAGTTCTTTCACAGTGATTCATACCGAATGAGCAAGCGATCTAAGCTACGAGGAATATGGCGATGACGATAACACTTTTCGCATGGATACAATTCTCATTTCAACCAGAGATTGATTACGATACGATGTCAAGTATGTCTCGCATATTCTCGTATTGGCACACTCGACTTCTCGCACGATACCAACGTATATAGCGGACAAAAAAACGCACTTTCACCCCTGAACCAGAGTCGTGGTTTCTGTTAAATTCTCGTTAATGTCTCACAATTGTAAAAAAAAAAGAAACTAAAAATTTTATAAACATTAAAAATTTTACGATTTGTTAAAATCAAACTGTACTTTTTCGTTATAAATTACGATAATCACAAATCATTTTATGCGTTTAAATTAATCCATATATCTCAATGAAATTTTATTTGACAAGATTTCTTAATCAAAGATTTTTAATGTTTTATTACAGACAAATGATGGGTTTATCGTACGAAATATATAAATGAATGAAATGCGCACGACTCCAGTCGGAGGTCAATATAAAGCCATACACGACTTACCTTGGACAGCTTCTCGCCTTCGTGATGCGGCAGCAATTGTCTCAGCGACTGGAATCCAGCGTTGATGCTCTGCATACGACGTCGTTCATTGCTGTTGGCGATTTCTCGCCGCATTCGCTTCTCCTGCTCCATGTGGCTGCGCGACGTGACACGGCCGACGTTGCTGATACCGTTGCCGTTGCTCAACGCAACGTTCTGACTAGCAACCCGCCGACCAGATCCGACGTTACCTTTTGATTGCGGCAGTTGCTGCCTTTGCTGCGGTTGCCGTTCTGGAGTATCAGCGACTTCGGTGACCGTCACACTCGTGGTCACCGAGCCGTCGTCCACCGTCTCGACGCTCCTGCAGACAAATAAATTGGAAAATAAATTTAAATGGGCATAAGTAAATTTTTCTTTATATACAATTCGCGGAGCTTGATTTCGGTTTTAATAATAAATTGTACGATACGATTTTGTCAACAAAAGCGAAATGTACAGAACGAGGACATTTGATGTTTAAAATTATGTTATCTTAATCGTCAAACGCATGTATCGTTGTACGTTAGTTAAATTAAATTTTAAATGAGCGACGATCTCGATTTTCGCAGCTTTATGTAATTACATAAAATGCTGACACTTGGAATATTTGGTTGTGGATCCTTGAACTCTTGGATCTTCATATATTTATACATCTACATCACTTTATTTTAATTACCTCGCAGAGGCAGCTGCGCGTATCATCGCTGTCGAAAAAGAAAAGGAAAAAAAAAGCCATTTCCGTCGGGCGATAAATGTCCCCGGCCAAAGTATTCCAGTATCAACAACGTAGAGTCCGAATCAAAGCGACGCAAACAAGAAAAAGAAGGAGAAAGAGAAGGAAGGACACTAACACATGGTACGCGCATTTGACATGCATAACGCGTGGCGTTTCGCCGGATTTTCTGTCGCGATCGCGATCGAGCACGAGGCACTCGCCCGCCTTGTATATCGTCTTGTAGCGCAAGGGCTTTTAAGGAAATTGAAAGCAGGGAGATGGTTGTTTTTCTCCTCTATCTTTTTTACTTTGTCGAACGCGCGCGATGGGACTTGTGGACGGTTGAATTCGCGGTCAATGAAGCGAGACGTCGTTGACGCTTCTCGACGGCGGCTTCAAAGGCTTCCTTCGCGCGCTTCCGACCGCTCGCACATCCGCCAACACCGACCGCATGGAATCTGTGATCTGATAGACCACTTAGATTTGCCAGCAACACTACCTTTTCATTCTCTAAAAGTTCTTTCAGTCTCTGCAAGCAGCAATATTTAACGTCGATTTCTCAATTGTACATATAATAAAACGTATAAAATCAAGTTTCGTAATAAAGATGCGTTAAATTCATTTTATTTTAAATACTTAATAAATATATCTGACCTATCTAATTTCGTACTCATAGCACGCCACGCGTATAATCATGAATCGTCACGCAAATAATATGAGAACAACAACGCATGTATACTACCGTGAATATCGCGAGGAGGCCTCATCATAATGAAAAGGTCAGCTGCAAGCACGCACGTGAGACGTCATGTAAGCATAAATTCTAGTTAAAGAGCAAGCATAAAATATTTGTTAGCTGTAAACACCTAGAAATTCCATTCGTATTTATTCGCGCTTGACATAATCACGATTATAGATGAAAGTAACAAACAAACAAGTCACAAAATTTATTAGATATATATTTTAAAATTCCATATAAATAATAAAAATTATGTTTGTCTCAAAAGAATGATACGAAGAAAGAATGACAGTTTTATTTAGTTTTTTCTAAATTTTTGTTCAATTTCACGATTTCTTAAATAAAATCTTTCTTTTATTAATACTTGCTAGAGTTGATGATTTATTAAATTATCCAAACATATAATATTGATACAGAAATCGTGTCAAAATATCCGGTCGTAAGATTCATAAATTCCATGTTCTATCTAATCTAAAAATCATTTTTTTTTATTAAAATTGATAGGAGGCATTCATTCCTCAGATCCATCAAAGTTATATACGCGTCGTTATGTTTGATTACGTGCCGTACTTTACTCCGGGGAACTTATAAATAAGTTAGCAAAGTCCTTAATAATGCAATACTCATTTCGTGCAGCATTATAAACTAAGTTGTAGGTAAAGTCGGTAAATGAGGAAACAACAAATAGCTGGGAAAATTATTACGTTAACGAGCAGCAGTAAGAAAAGCGATGAGAAAGAGCTCCAGGGAGGGGAAAGATCGAGATGGCGGGTATAGCGCCGCGGGGATGACTCAGCAGAGAAGACCGTGACCTTGCTATTTGCTCCGAAACGCCACGCGTCGATAGTACGAACAAATGTGAATTCGTCAAAAAATAATCATGAAATCATTTTTAGTTACGACACACGGTCATTTTAAAAAAACGATGAATTAAATCTCGATTAATTCAGAAATTAACTAATCCCCACAGGAGAAAACGATAAAATACTACTACATTTCAAAAAGTAATAATGTAAATGTAAGGATTTAAAACATATTTCGAGTAACGTAAAAAAAAAACGTTTATTGTTCATAAGATAGCATTGGCAAAAGAATATAACAATAACAAAAATGTCTTTAAATATCACGACGCTTTATTGACCGCTTGTCACCTGTCCGGTAATTTTCTCTGGTTGATATATTAACAGTTACTCATTCGAAGATGTCACTCAAATACCGCGGAACCTCGACCACACGCACAAAGGCATAATCGTACATCATCCGCGATGTAATGATGCTTTCAAATCACGAACGTCCGTCAAAGATTTTACAATGCCCGAAGTGTGTTGTAACGTAGCATTATTCCGCACTTTAACTCTCCAGTCCAGTAATAGCTATTGCCATAGCTATCTTCAAAAATGGACAATCTTTGCCATGATACTCAATACTTGTCATTGGTGAGTTAAAGCGATACGGAACATGGGATAATGTGATCAGATGTTTCATATCCGATGAAGTCATTCGTCTATGCGCTTCATATTAATTTCGGTATTGCGATCTCTCGTCGCTGTCATCATCGACGTTCTAGTCACAATGGTACAACAGCCATCTCATCGAAGCTAATATTGCCGGCCTGAATATTGCAATAAATCATTATTCACAATTTAATGCGTATTGTCATTTTCAAAAACAACCATCTTTCCTTCGCGTGATAAACACGGCTGAATTGTTCGGAGTAACATACGAGGGATTGAATCAGGCCGCGGCATTCATCGGCGATCATTCATAACGGCACGTGGAGGTCCACGGAACCAGGAATCCACGTGGCGTACTCTCTCATCGAGTGGTTATATTAGATCAGCTGGTACGCCGGCGGCTTGCTGGCTGGATGGTTGGCTGTCGTGACGTCAGCTCGTTCGTTCGCCGGATACCCGCAGAGCGCTCGCTCGGCCAGATCAGTTGCGACGAAGTAGGTCGACGAAAAGTGGATAGAGTTACCTTCCTTTTCACCCTGAAATCCTGCCCCCCGTACGAGGGAGAATGCGCGCTAAAGATAACTCCCATGTCGTTTATTCTTCGTATTTTAGTTCGGTTCGGTTATCGTCTGGTTATCTTCTAAATTGTGTGCCTCACTTTCAGAGAAAGAAAAGAAGAAAGACAGAAAGTTCACAGTTATTGTGCATGTGCGTGCGTGCGTGTGCGTGTGTGTGTGTGTGTGTGTGTGTGTGTATTTGTGTAAAAAATATACTTGTATAATAAATAAAATATAAAATATAAAAGAGTAATATATATTTTATAATATTTAAATATTATCCTCTTATATCTTATGTTTCATTTGTTTACAATTTGACATATTTTTTTCAAATTTTTTCTAATCAGAATATCATGTGCTTCTTATATCACAACTTTTAATAATATTTTTAGCATGTAATTTTTTCTCTTTGTCTCTCTTTTATAATATTTTATTTTCCAGAAGATACAAACTTTCATCTCCGCATAGTTTCTTGTTTTCATTACTGACAATCAGTGCTGAGTTACTTTCTTACTTTTTAAACTTTTATATTGTGATAAACAAACAAATTTAGATTGTAATAAACAACAACGAGATTAAGCATTAAATTTCTATTTTTATTTTAATTTCATTCGAAAATCTACAATTACAGTTATGAATATATATTACAATATACTACAATTAATTCTGCGTTGTTGTTTATGCCACAACGGTAATCAACAGTTCATAAGAGATAATTTCTTACAAGGTTATATGATACTCAGAGACTACATGTGCCACCAAATTATCTTTGATAATAAAAAATTAAAAATAAAAAAAAGGAGCGTGGTATAAATGGTATGACTAACTTAGTACAATATTAAGTACTTAGTACAATATTAAATTTTTAATAAACGGGAAAAGCAAGCAATATCTTCATTAATAAATTGCATCCAGGACATTTTCTCCCGTTATCTTAATCTACTTAAAGGAAATTTTTTTTGCACAATAAAAACCTTATAATTAAAATAGTAACAAAAAAAAAACACAGCTCGATATTAATTCTCTAAACAGAAAACAACTCAAGAATTAATCACGTGACATTAAAATGACGTGCGTATTGTTACTCTGTATCTGTCAACGATTATCAATGGCAATTATTTGCCTGCAAATGAATACACTTTAGAGGACATCCGCTGGTTGCGCGATTAAGTCCAATTATAAACTCGCACTCGTTGCCCAACGTCGACGATAAAAAAAAAAAAAGAAGACGGCAGAGTGGAGGGAAAAACGAGAACGATGAGGTATCGGTGCATCGACTCGCTCGGAGCTTCTGCCCAGGTGCATGTGCATCCGTGGATTTTCACCGTGGTAGATGGAAAAAGCGTGTTGAGAGAGCACTTTCGTGAGACGCGACGCGGACAACGGCATTCTGGCGCACGCGCCTGTTAGTATTGGTGTGTGTGTGTGTGTGTA